CTAACTTATACTCAAAGAATGTATTTATTATATTTTTTTATTAATTAAAATAAAAAAATAAAAATTGATATTAATTTTAACAATTATAAAATTAAATTTATTAAAGTGACAATGAAACTAAAATTAATGTTAGTTTTCATAATTTTTTATGTAAATTAATACTAAAAAGGTATAATAACTGAAATCTTAATTTGTACCTAAGAGTATAAAATATGAAAACCCTTTTTTATTTGATTTAATAGCTAAAAGTATATTAATTACACATTTAATTTGTGTTTTAGGAAGATGTTAGAAAAACACTTTAAAAAAGTAATCAACTATTGAATGTGAAAATTTTTTAAAATATCTTATCTAGGACGGTTCATTCTCCATTCATCAAATTCAGGAAATTTGGGTATTGGTAAATTAATAGTCATTGGAACCATCCATGCTAAGCCTGAAAATGAGTGGGGAAATTGCCAAAATTCTATCCTTTTTCAGTTTATATGTAATCAGCTGTTGAATGTGAGTTGTGAAATAAGAGATCAAATGTCAATTTTATCGACGCAACTTATTTCTTATGCAGGTGAAGGCCAAAAATCATGGGTGATAATTGTTGCCATTGTTGTGCCGGTTGGTGTTGCTGTTTTGCTTTTCATTGTGGGGTATTGCTTGCTAACAAGGAGAGGAAGGAAGAAGTATGATATCGTGCAGGGAGATAATGGTGAAAACATGACTCCTTTTTTCAATCCAGAATTATCTTTGAGGTTTCATAGATTTTTATTGATATATTTGGCGTCTGGTTGTGCAGTTGTGACTGATATAACCAATGTAGAGTCTCTGCATCATGATCTCAACTCAATTAAAGCTGCAACAAACAACTTCGCAGACAGTAATAGACTAGGTGAAGGTGGATTTGGGGTTGTTTACAAGGTAATGTACATGCCAGGTCCAGAGAATTCAATTTTGAAATTAGAAGCTTTGATGTTGGTACTAGTGATTGTTTGTTTTACATTTTCAGGGTAGATTTCCTAATGGACAAGAAATAGCTGTGAAGAGGTTATCGAGGAGCTCTGGACAAGGAACTACAGAATTCAAGAATGAGGCTGTATTGGTGGCTAAGCTTCAGCACAGAAATCTAGTGAGACTATTAGGATTTTGTGTGGAAGGAGAAGAGAAGATACTTTTTTACGAATTTGTGCCTAACAAGAGCCTTGACTATTTTCTATTCAGTCTGTGTCCTCTGTTCTCAAGCATGCTTACACAGCAGAAAAGTAGAAATATGTCAATTTTGATTTGTTTCATTCTTATGCAGATGATGATAGACAAGGATTGTTGGATTGGTCAAGACGTTACAAGATAATAGAAGGCATTGCTCAAGGAATTCTTTATCTTCATGAGGATTCTCGACTTCGAATCATACATCGGGATCTCAAGGCCAGCAACGTATTGTTAGATAGTGACATGAATCCCAAAATTTCAGATTTTGGAATGGCCAGGATTTTTGGAGTTGATCAAACTCAAGGAAGCACTAATAGAATTGTTGGAACCTAGTAAGTAGTACACCTCAGTCATTGGTTTAAGTTCTTTAGTTGTTTCATTTTTTGTCACATCCTTACTATTGACTCACTGGAAAAACGTGACTAGAATTGCATGAAAGATAATCAATCTAATAATATCAGTTTTTGTTACATTTAGACATACAAAGAGAGATTGTTTTCAATGGTGTTCTATTGACACATGGGTAAAGATTCTTTGTTGTTGTTATATCTAACATTGGTGCTTGTTTTTCAGTGGCTACATGTCTCCAGAATATGTTGTACATGGACAGTTCTCTGTGAGATCAGATGTGTATAGTTTTGGTGTTTTAGTTCTAGAGATTTTAAGTGGCAAGAAGATTAGTGACTTTTATCAAACAGAAGGAACTGGAAACCTAATGAGCTATGTGAGTATATGTCAGCCTCTGAATTATGTTCTCCCAGTAAATAGTTACAACATTTACCATCAATAACAAGAAGAAGAAAGAATGAAGGATAACATTTTTCAAATTGGTCGATGAATTTTTGCAGGCCTGGAAACTTTGGAAGGATGGGAGACCATTGGAGCTGTTGGACCCAATTCTTGGAGATTCTTATGCAAGAAATGAAGTCATTAGGTGCATCCAAATTGGTTTGCTATGTGTTCAGGAGGATCCTGCTGAGAGGCCAACAATGGCAACCGTTGTTCTCATGCTCAACAGTTATTCAGCCACACTACCTCTACCAAACGAGCCTGCTTTTTTCCTCCATAGCAGAACAGAGCCGATAAAGTTGTTGGAATCTGATCAATCTACTAGTGTGTTGGAGTCTGATCAATCTAAAAGTCAGTCAGTGCTATACTCAACAAATGAAGTTTCAATCACTGAATTAGAACCTCGTTAAAATTTTGCACCCTACTACTTATAATGTATCCTCGGTACTTTTTTTTTAAACAACATGTACAAATGTTGGGGAGGGGGATTTGAAACCAAAACCTTGAGCTAGTACTGGGACTGGGAGAGATACTCTCAGCCATCTGTTAATGTAAAACAGGCCTTTATCTTTTGATTAGCAGCAGAAACACATGTAGCCTGATGTTTCTGTTAGAAATTTACTAGGTTGTGTTTGGAACCGCTTATTTAAATTAGGTTGCATTTGGGAATGTGTGTTTGAATTTGAGGTGTGTATTTGAAAATACATGTACTTTAAAAAATAAAAAATTATT